ATAGTTGTAATTGGGGAAAGAAGTGACCTTTGTGTATTTAGAATGATGAGAAAGATGGTATAGCATGGTGATTAAGATGAAGGCTTCTGGAACCAAACTGCCTAGGATTCAGTTCCAGCAAGACCATTTGTTAGGTGCTTAACTTTGGCCAACTTAGTTAAACTCTGTTTCGGTTTTACCACCTATAAAATAGAGATGACCAAGGTTGTCTTCATGAGACTGCCGTAAGGAATAAGGAAGTCTCTCTGTACATAAATACCCTCTCTCATATAATATAAAACATATGGTGTGATATATAATGTAGTATGTAATATGTCATATGAGAGAGAAACCAATAGAATAGTAACAAGTCATTTGTAAATAATAAAACTAGGTAATAGTAAAATTATTAAATACAATTTGTATATTAAGGTCCAAAGAAGTCATTGCTAGTAAACGTGTTTATTATATTTTTGTTTCCATATCTATGCCCAGAGCCAAGCAATCAGAATAATTGTTTTATAGTTCCCCAAAGTATTTGGATTTTGTCTTCGTTGAATTTCAAGCTTCAAGTCTAAGTTCAGCTGAAACTTTCATTGCCGGCACCTCCAGGAAGCCGTGAGGATAGAATTTACAGCTCTGTGGCTTGTTCGTCTTGGCTCACCAGGGGCTGACATGTAAAGGAAACTGGACTGAGGATCTGTCTTGGGATGTTCTGGTCTAACTTCTGTTGTCTATGAATGACTTGGATCTAATTACACATACCTATGAGGTTTGTACTATTTGAACTGACAGTCTAAATTGATCCAATGAACTGAAAGACTGTCAAAACTCCAGCACATTTTGTGTTAAAGACAGATCACTCCATGGAGGAAAAAGGAGGCAGAATGCTTAGCACACCCTGAGGTCTGAAATTCCTACCTCTACTTGCCAAGTCTGCTGGTGTCTGCCTTTCTATCATCCCAGACTCTGGGTCCAGCAGAACAACAGTGCGACCACAGGTCTGCAGGATCTCGGGGATAGAAGGGACTTCGGAGGTAACCTAATGCCAGGCTTCCTTTCACAAAGGAGGAAACTGAGACCTACTGCATTTAAATGACACCTCGTTCACGCAGATATGATTCCATCTGCGCTTAAAGGGTGAAATTAACAAAAGGATGATCTGTTATGTCACAGGCATCAGCAACCTCCGACTTCAGGAGCTCTGGAAAGATTTCTAAGTTCTCTTGCAGCTGCTTTGCTCTTTGAAGCTTGTTGAAATTACGTGAAACATATTACGCCTGAAAAATCTGTATTTACGACTATTTCTTTTTCTGTGGTTTTCACCAAGAGTTGCTAAAGGGTTTCTCCTCTTCATCACTTAAGTGCAATCCAGCAATTCTTACATCCGATAAACTGCAAAATGCAGGGTCTAGGATTCTCGAAGCTACGTCTGGTACCTCTTTAATAATATTTCTTTAAGTGTAATTGAAGTTAAACCTGTTAGTTCCTTTATCAACCGTAGTCTGTTCTAAAATGATGTATTTTAGCTTTTGCGTGTCCCACGATCCCTCCTCCTGCTTCCCTACACACAAACCTACACATACATGCCCACAAACTCTCCAATTATTTTTCCACCAAAGGGAACCCCCAAAATCATTAGACTGGAAGAAATATTTATGATATGTGATTAAATATTTATCATAATAATGGAATTTATCCTCAAACTCCAAAGTATTCCTTTATTTTGACTTCCTTTCCATTCTTAGGAAAGATTTCTCAGTATCAATAGTGTTTGACTTGCTGGGCGCCCAAGTGGCGCCGTCAGTCACATGTCTGACTCTTGGTTTCAGCTCAGGTCCTCATTTCAGGATCCTGAGACTGAGCCCCATGTCGGGCTCCACACTCAGCATGGAGTCTGCTAAAGTTGGTCTCTCCCTCTGCCCCTCCCTGCTGTGCACTTGCTCCCACAGGCAATCTTCCTCTCTCTCTCCCTCTCTAAAATAAATAAAGGTGTCCCACTTGCCATCATAATGAATACTACTATGTTATAGTTGTCCTCTTATGAAAGGACTTTGTCACCAAAATTCTGTCAAGAAACCACAAAAATGTGGTTCAAGAAGACAGGACTTACACATAAATATCCAAATATCTAGCTTCCTCGTAACGAACGAGCAAATGAAAGGGGTGCTTTGAACCTAGTAATGGAAGGATGCAAACTTTCTCTCATGTCTCCCATGTCTCTATCTTCCATCCCATCATTTCTTTTGACTATTCCCAGGTAAGAAATGTATTTGCTATTCTTTGTTATATCTGTTTGGAGGCTGAGTTGGCTTTCCTTAGAAGTAACCTGGCATTTTTGAGGTGGCAGGTGAAGAGCTAAAGAATTAGCAACAGTTTATATCTGCCTCTGAGAGCACACGTGGGATTGTCCTCCCCCTCCTCCTTCTTTCCTCCTTCATCACAATTCAGAGGACACGGTCAGAACTATCAGGGGGTTTCACTAGTATTCCTTCATTCAAGTGCACTCACACTCGTCTTTCCAGGGATGAAACCTACGGCCCTGGAATCACTTATTCACTTGAATGTAGAAAGTATGAATCAGCCTTTCCCTCCTGTAGAAAGCAGCGTGGAACCTACCACTGATGCCCCGACATGATCTCTCCCAATTTCTCCCATTAGCTCGGATCTTCCCTCCTGCTCACTCCCATGTCTCTATCTTTTACCAGTAAAGTTGATAAAAAAAAAAAAAATTAAGCTAAAAACAAAGCCAAAACCATTGCTCTTGTATGAAGGGCAAGCATGCATAATAATGCGTTTCTCTAGGCGAGCTCTGGCGGGTCGACGCTCACCCACCTTCATGCGCAGCTCCTGTGCCAGGAGCACAAGACTGCGAGCTGGCTGGCTGGGGTTAGGGGTACAGTCAGCCTGTGATTACAGAGTGGAAAATGGCCAATTGGTTCTCACTGAGAAACAGGACATCCACGGTCTTCCTGGCACATGCGTTAAACCAACAGAGTTAAACAGCCCTACTCAGTTATATCCAGCCTTTGTGAACTCAGCGCCCCGCACTCCTCTTCCAGCACGCCTTGGCTCTTACGCCAGAATCTGGACCAATTGTGAAGTGGGAACCAGTGACTTTGGGGGCACAAGCGACCAAGGTGAGATGTTGACAAGCATCATTCAGACCTTAAATTTGACACGAAGGCAAAAGGGGAGACTTCTAAGAGGAGAATTTTCTTTTTCCTCCCCAACAGAGATCACAGGGTCTGAATGAACTGAATCGAAATAGAGCCAGTTTTCAAGCACCCACGGGTGAGCTTTTACGATTTTTCTCTGGCAATTCACAAACCACTGGATACGTAAATGCTGTACTAAAAGGAATTGAAGCCTGTCAGGTTAATTACACAATATTAGGTACGAAAACAAACAGTGCAACACAAAACATAGCTACATCATTATTTGCAGTAAATGTTAACTCTAAATAAGTGCAACCTGTCCATAAATGCTTGCTATAAACTAATTAAAAAAATAAAATTTGATGGATAAACATGAAAAAAAAATTCTCACTGAGAATTTTTTTTTTAAATATCAGCACTCATTTAGAGTTTGGGATTTGTGAAAGAAAGCTTTAAAAGGAGCAAACCTGATTGGCTGTGGCTGTTGCTGCGAAGGGGACACTTGTTGCAGGAGTTGTTGCTGCAGAGACAGTGGCTGACGTAGCGCTGTGCATCATGGGTACTTTCAGGAGGGGAACCATGGGAGCAATGAACAGGAGGGTGTAGCATTATGGTAATAGAAGTGGTATTTTGGCATGGTGAATATCAGAGCAGCAAGCCATCATGGGTTAAACCAGCAGATGGCATGCAATCACAATGCAAAGCAAGGAAGCATGGGAGAGAAATAAAAAAGGGAAAATAGCTTATTACAAGTACAATTAAAGGAAGTTTTAAAACATAATCAGTGATTCCCAGAAAGGCCAAAGCAGACTACTTTGGTTGACGTATTTATTGACATTTTTACTTATGACAATTTATCATTCCCAATTTGGAGCCTACGGTTGTAGGTACTAATAGGTTTCTTCCAAAAATGTGAACTGTAACGTCCAAAGAAGTAAGACTATGGGATACTCGGCTTTTGTCATTCTAAAACATCCAAGGCTCAACACATAGGCCTAATTTGGGGTAGGATGGTCTCTGGAATTAACTATGGTTCAATTGAACATTTTGTCAATTAGGGACTGCTTTTTTTGAACTGAAATTGCTGGAGGTTGGGGTTTATCCTGGATTAATAAACAGTAGAGCAAAAATCGTGGCCTTGACATAAATTCTAACGTAGTTACTGCGAAACAGCCAGGCAAATTTGGCCGATGTTTATTTCTCTGTATTCTAAATGGAACACATCCATACGTCCTAAAGACAGACTTTTGTACCAAGGCACTGGATGTGTAGAGGTAACGATATGGTATTAAAATTTAACATTTAAGGGGGCCTAAGGTCCAAATAATCACCACAAATAAATTGACACTTATAATTAAAAAGGATGTTAAAACAAGGCAATTCAGACAGTTGTTTTCAAAATACATCCATTTATAATTTTTAAAAATAAATACTTCTGGGAAACTCTGATAACTCTAACACACAGCAAAGAGGAGATAAAGGCACACCACTATGAAACTTTAAAACATTGATGAAATTAGCCTGCCTTTCTGATAAAGTCAGCTTTTTATTTCCTCTTACACTAAACCGTATAAACTCTAAAGAGAAACAAAATACAGATCATTAAAAAGCAGTACTTGTGGTTTTATGTCTGGCAGTGGCTGTTCTAGCACAGTGGTTATTCTGGTCACATTAAAACGATTATTTTCTTAAATAATACAAAAGTACATCTTAAAAAAAACCTATACATTAACTCTAAAGCCAAATAAAGCCTTCAGGGCTACCATCGCCTAAAGCATTTCTACCATCTCTGAAATAAATTTCAAGCAAGTGAAGGTACTGTACATAATAGAAAAATACAAATAAAAAAAGGTTGAAACCTACCAATACTGGTAGCGGGAGTCATGCACAAAACTGACCCTGCGTGTCATGCAATGGCAGGTGGAAAAAGTGAATAAAGGGAAAGAAACAGGTTAGCGGTTTAGAGTTAACATTCAAAGTGAGATTGAAGCACAACCAGAAATCAGTAGGGTTAGTTAACACAGTCCTTAGAGTTATTCACGTTTTTAGTATAGAGACAAATATCTCTGACTTGTTGGAAGCCAATATTACTCAAAGCTCACTCCTTCGATACTTTTCACTCTTTTTACTTGGCTCCGTCGACATGATTCTTCTAAAGAATGGCATGTGACAATGTCGAGAGTGTCCTTCCTCTAAGACCTCCAAGTATTGTACAGACCTCATTGAGGTAAACCTCCAAGGTAGGAAGTGGGTATTTTACAGATGAAAAATCTGAGGCACAGTAACTACTCCAAGGTCATGCATAGTGGGGACCGAGGGTAAGGCTGGAATTCTACTCCTAAATCCAGGTCAGGGTTTGTATTCGTTGGATTACACTGACCTTATTGCATTAAACGTGTGTTTGCTTGTTTGGTTGTTTCATGTTAAAAACGATGTGAAAATCAAAACAGTAGCTAAGACTCTCTATCCTCTAAATCAAAGCCTCACGGGTCAGGTGACTTTTAGATGATTGCCTGGAAGCCCTACAGCACAGGGAGGGAGACTGATGTTCTTGTGACAGAATGACCCGGCTGTGTACATGATCTGTTTTCATCACAATAAAGGAGACTAAAGAGCGTAGAGGCAAAACCATGCAGAGCTGGGGCAGACTTAGGACCGGGCCTAGCGACTGTGTCATGGTGGCTATTAGGTGAACCCTGAGGGAGATCTTTGGCAAAACTCCTGGAAAATCTCAGGTTGGTGTCCAAGTGGCACGGGGAGGGAGGAAGATTTCAATCCCTCCAGCGGAATAGCTGCCTTCCCTGTGGTGGCCATATTAATGTACTTGAATCTGAAAACTCTGACCCTGAAGAGAAATGTTATGTGGTAAAGCACTGAAAAACTGAATTATCTACTTCCGGTTCAGTTCCTTAGGCTAAAAATCAAGGTATGCTGAGGATTACATACCTGAAGATGGGGTATCATGGAGGTGAGAGGATTCGTTTTTAATGAATGAATGAAAAGTCTCTGTAACAAATGGGTGAACCCACTTAGGGTTTTAGAACTGCCCTCTGAGATACCAGGTGAAGAATGTGAGAGGCATAGACCTGTGTTCTCTCTGCCGCACTGTCCACACCTGAGGGATACTTTCTGCCTGATCTGTATTTGGGTCAGGCTAAGTTAACCAGTCAGGGACAGAGGCTATTTAACTGGGTTATTAATGGATTCTTCAGCAAGTGTGTGCTAATGAATCCTTTACACGCACACGCACACACACACACACACACACACACACACACACACACTCCTCAAAATCCTTCTCTTTCTCCAGCCCTATCTTTCTAATCTTCATAAACAAACTTCTGGACAGTTGCCTGCTCATAAATTTTCACTTCCCTGACCCACATGCTCTTCAATCTTCTCCAAGTTGACTTCCATATTCAGGTCTCCTCCAACTGCCAATGTCCTCAAGAACTCCCTCTTTCTGTAGTCAGTAGGATCTCTTCCATCTTCATCTAATGCAAATTTGGTAACATTTAGCACTTGGCCACTCCCTCCATAATAAACCACTCTTTCCCCTTGGATTTTCTAATACCACCCCACCCCGTCCTCCCCTCCCACATACATAGACACACACACAGTCTACATCTTACATGCTGGAGTTTTTCAGGACTCAGTTCTGGTTCCTTTTCATCTACTTTGTGCTTTCTCTGGGCCTGTCATTCAATCCAGCATTTAAATACTATCTATAAGCTCAAGGCTTCCAAATTTATGCATCTACCTTCCCTCTTGAAGTTCCCTGCTCCGGCTCACCAATAAGCCAAAGCAATCCTCTTTTGAAAATGAATCTTATATTGGTCTGTCTGTACATCTCTACTGCCACTCTTCAGGTCCTGATCGCCATTATCTCTAGGCTGGGCCATGTCATGACGTCCTAACTGGTCTTTCTGCTCGCGTTCCCGTCCCCTGCCTAATCTGCTCCACTCTTCACCTTTCTAAATACAGGTCTGTTCACTTCTGTGCTGGAAATGATTCACTGCTTTTTCATTGCGTTTAGGATAAAGACCCCCTATGGTTCACTCTCTGACTATCTCCCCAGCTCCATTCCATACCCTTCTCTGAGGGCGGGCACCGTGACCCAGGCAGATTAGCCTTTCATTTCTTTGAACTGAACACATCACACTTTTGTCCTACTTTTGGGCTTCCCACAAGCTGTCCCCTGTGCCTGGAATAATCTTCGTCCCACTCTTTTCATCTTCCTGGTCTCGAGGTATGTATTAATTCTTTAGAAAACCATTCCATTGTTCTTTTACCTATCTCCATCTGCCATTTATATCAGTTTATTATTTTCAAGCTTACTGAACTCTACTCTTCCAGTCGTTGGCCTTATAAAGCATTTAAGTTATATATTTATACTGACATTTATTGGACCTCTCTCTTCCTCTTCTGTCAACTCTGGGAGGGCAGGACTCATGTCGGTCTAGGTTTCAGGGGCCCAGATTGACAGGGGATCAATCGGTTGAGTGAGGGTCCGTAGTCATCAGTGAGTGTAATGGGAGCACTTGGTTCCTAAAATGTATGAAAGTGCCCACCTTGTCAGTGACTTCATTTTAAAGAAAACCGTGGCTGGGTTCAAAGTCATCCCTATACAAATTCTGCTATTCTCTTGCATTCCAGTGTGTGTGTGGGTGGGGGGGGGTTCTTTTCTGTGTCATGGCTGCGAATGTCCCTAGGTTGCAAACCAGCACCACCAGCCTCTGTAGCCACGCTGACCTGGGAACACTGAACAAGTGACTTTAGCTTCAGTTCAGGATGTGGTTGAAATGCTTGACCAAATTCATGTGATGAGCCCCTCACCCACCGTGGTATGAAAGTGATAAAAATATTAGAAATGCATAGCTTTGGCTGTGCATGGCTGTCTGACTCCGTGTCAGATTCTGCTCCCTGTCTTTTCTGCTCTGCACCCTCTTCCTACTCCTTCAGGATTTCGCTCTGCAGCTAAAATGAACAGCTTGCAATCCCTCAAATACGTTCTGCCTAACCTAGGCTCTCTCCCACCGGCCTGGGATGCTTTTCTGCCACTGCTAAAATCTTCCTTTCAAAGTCCTAAACAAATTTCTTCTCCTTTGAACAGTTGCTTCTTTCTCAGTTTCCCTTGTCCCCACCACCCACTGCACCTGTTGATGGCCTGAACACTCTACTTTTCTCTGCACTCTCAAATAGCTTTGCAAGTGCCCCAAGGGGCCCTTAACGCTCAGCACTATATTGGTTTTTCCTAGTTCTGAACTCCTTTGTATTCTCATTACTGGATCTGGAACTCAGAACTTACTCTGTGTTCAGGAACTGTTTGCCCAACGGCGGAGGGGGGGCATAAATTTTGCTATCTTTGTACAGGTCCAGTTTCCACCAAACACGGACAAATCTTTCACCAAGGTGTGTGACAGAAAACCTTATGTAACCTTATGATTTCAGATCATTAGGCAATAATTATACTAGTGCTTTTCCTTGTTTTACTTATGCTGTGCACGCAAGATAATGAAATAAATCAAAGAGGGACTCAGTGGGTCTTTCTGTTCTGAGCAGCTGAAGCATTCCATTAAGGCACTAATTCTATCCACAGAAACTTCTCAACTGTTCTCTGCTGCGGTTGCACAAATATTTCAACTCTAAAATCTGTGAGTCAGGATTCTTTGCATATTTCCATGCATTATGTATTCACCCTGCAGCACAGACACACGGCCTCAGTTTTTCCATCTGCAAAATGCAAATAGTCATGCCTGCCACCGGCAGAACTATCTTGAAGAATAATGAGACAATGCCTATAAGAACACTTACAGTAACACGATAAACCTGTCAGAGAAATGCCGAGAATTATTACCCTGCTGTTTTTGTGTGTGTGGTTTCTGCCACTGGCCTAATGCAGCGAAGAGAAAGTATTAACTCCTAGATTAAAATAATCCCTATCAAAAAAGGAGACAAGGAAAAGTCTCACCCACTACAAACGTGCTAGGGCATCAGCCAAGGTGATAATTATTTAAGCATGGTTTTGGAGAAGAATCCCATATTTTGAACAGTGTTTCATATTCCTATCTCCACATCCCGGAGGCTGAATTCCTAAAATCCAAATTCACATGGTGTCAATGTATGATATCGTATATCATATATGATATCATATAATATCGTATGATAGCAAAACTCCACTGTGTGGAAGAGACGGCAGGTGGACTGACTGTGATGCTCACGTCACACGGTCTGCAAATACTGAGCCATTATGTCATACACCTGCAACGAATTCAATGTGATATACTAATTATACCTCAGGGCAAAAAAAAAGAAAGAAAAATTAGGGATCTTAAAAAAAACAACCCCCAGATTTTCACTATGAATGGCCTTTTAGTAAAGGTTAACCTCCGGGAGTATGTAAGATGCTCTGTGTTTCATATATATGATCATTGTTGATAGAAAGTACTTACAGAAAAATCAAACTCTGTCAGTTTAAAAATAATGGGCCCATCTTCTACCAAATTGCAAAAATGATTTTTGAACATTGTTTCTTAATTTGCAGAGATTTAAGACAACAGTGATTAACAATGAATGATTATAGTCATTACTGTTTTAAAATTGAGTTGAAAATGTGGTTTATGAGTAAGAAAGCCCAAAATAAAACTATAGCCAAAACAAACACTGAGATTTCTGTTGGGGATTTAAATGGGGGAACGATTATGCTAACTTTCTTTTGATTAAATTGTTTTCTCTTTCATCATTTAAGAAAAACGGGAAAACTTCTTAGAAGCTGAAATACCATTTCAAAGCATGAGAGCCATATAGCTGTTTACTATGATACTGATATCATGTTACAGATGGAAACACTTGTAATTCACAGAATGAAGTAGGCTAGAACCCACTTTTGGGCTCCCAAAGTCCACACAACCCTGGGCTGCCGGACACACTGGGACAGTTTTTAAAGGATCCAGCAGGGGGCGGAAGTGCACAACCACAGCAGCCCATACAGCCCCCCCCCCAGGTCCTAGATACAATCATTTCATCAACAATAATCAGGTCATTGCATAAGGGATGTTTATCCATTCTTGCTTTGGAAGTCTTTAAATGGTTTCCGGGTGAAAGATTTTTAAATGAGGATTCCTGCAGTGATTTAACAGAGCTGTCATTATTGGACTGAAGTGTTAAAAACGAGTTAGAGGCCTTCAGACTTTCACACAACTTAGGTCCAAGGTTTCAAAGGCATTGCCAGGAAATGGTAGTGAAACTGCTACCCAATCTCCAGAAACACATTTTTCCTTTTATGCTTTACCCCTCGATACATTCCTCCTACATTCTTTTCTCCTACGATACCTAGTGACGAGGTCTATGAAGTAAGACACTTAAGGAAATCATAGAAGACCTCGAGGTAAGTTAACCCACTAGAAATTATTTTACAAACATGTTACATCCAGTGGATTACAAGTACAAGTCCTGCGGTGCTATAAACCTGCTCTGAAATGTCACTGGCTAAGGCTGTAATCCACCAGGAGGGAAGCCCCAGTTAAGCACTGACATAGAGACTCACCCTACAGGTCTGTAAGTCTCCTTAAGAGAAGAGCAGAAGTGAAATATGAAAACTAAACACTAAGAACAATTTGCTTACATGACTTATATGTTTACTATAATAAATATCATTAATAAGTTTATGACTGTTTTCAAAGTATAGCTTTTATACAAAAAACACCACAGAAATATTTCTTCTACTCCCTCCTACGTTAATTCCTAATAGGCTACAGGATTTAAGGAGAAGGATAATAGACCTGAAAATTCCAACCACGTGGATTAGGACCAACAAGCTCTTTGTGATAAAATTATTGTCCATCTATATTTACCTTTGAGTCACTCCCATGGGATGACAATTTGGACTTCAAAACTAAGAACTGAATGGACAGTCTCCTCACAAAAGCCTAAGTCATTCTCTGGTTCTTTATTTTTTGAATACTAGGAAATTTTATTTATTTTGAGGCTATCATCCTGCTTCTCACGCAGACCAAGGAAGTCAAAACCATGATCCATTTAAGGTGACTCTGTGTTTGTATATGGTGTACGTAGGTCTGTGGTCAGGGAGGTGGGTAAAAAATGGGGGAGGGCTGCCATGCATTCTGCTTTTGTTTCTTCACTTCTATCTGCTGGTTTATAAGTCTGCCAAGCTCTACGGAGGACTCTGTGATGCCACGTGTGGAAGCTGGGTAGTGCCATGTCATGGGACGTTGGCTGGACTGGTCACAGGGACACTAGGTGCCGGCTCTTTGTGCCACCTTGGGAAGTCACCTCCCACTTAGGGGGCCTCAGTTTTGTCATCTGTAAAACAATCGCCTGCCTGAGGAGATCATGAAGAATCCTCTAAGCTTCGAGATTCTGTGATTAACAGAATTCATCTCTTAGTGGAATGATGCAGTTAATGGACCTTAGCGGTTACTGTTATCAGGCATTGGCTTAGAAACCGAGGATACGAGCTCTATCTACTTGTGCGCTTGGTGAAGTTGAGAAGGATGGCAAAAGAGAGAGGATGAATGTCAAATATGAGTAGAGGATTGCTTTAATTTGAATAGCTTTGTCTTTTTTTTTTCTTTTAGTGCTCGGAACAGGAATAGGAAAAAAAAAACAGGTTAGTACTTACTGGAATTACTATTTTTAGGTCATTCAGGGTTAAAGACAAATCTCAATGGTCACACAGAAAAGGTCTCGTTGACATAAACGATTTTACACAGCGTGTGTAAATGCGAGAAACCAAAAGGCCTCCCTGCTCTCTGCCTCTCACGGGTTCGGTCTGTCACTGGACCCTACAAATATTTGGCTGTAGGAGCCTAGCAGCCTTTCGCTCTCATTCCGAGCACAGTACATCTAGCTTGATAGCTCAGGACAATGACGAGTCTCAGGCTGTACTGACTGTACCTTTCCAAGCAAACTAGATGCCACCGAACAGCTTAAAGGAATGAGAAGGAAGCACATGACCGGAAGGGCACACGGACACGGACTTGGAACTGTCGGGGCACGCACCTGTCGGGATAAACGCCGCGTGCTGCTGCAGCTGCGCACTGGTGAGAGCCTGCTGGTAGTGCAAGACGCTGGGACTGAAGACCGTGCTGGCACCGTTGCTTTTTTCAAGTGCTTGTCTCTTTGGTAAGGGATGAAGAGCACCAGGAGGAAAGGCCTATAGGCAGAGAATGGGATAAGACATGTATAACTCAAAGTAACCACACCTCCAGGGTCCGCAGAGATCATCAACTACGACATTCTTTTTCAAAATGACAGCTAAGGAGATGCCTCTGCCATGCACCTTAATTTAAACAGCGGCAATGTCGGGTGAGTGAGGATTCGTTATTTGAGAGCGAAAGCATGATTTCTGTAACCCAAAACGGTGGCATCTCAACTAAGGAAAAGAAAAACTATCAAGCAACACCAACAAAATAAATAAATAAATAAAGGGAAAAAAATTTAAAAATGTTTTCAGCTTTTAAAATGAGTTAAACTACTCTAAGGGGTGGGGGGAGAAGCATTTGTGTTATCATTAATACCTATTCTCTTCGGTAACTAAATAGCAATTGCTTGGATTTAGAGGTTAATAAGAATTATAAGGAGCATTTTCCGAGGCAAGTAATTTAAATTTGCTTCACTCTTTTGCAAAAGGCATTAAAATTTGTTAGGATTAATTTATTTCACGTATTACATATGAAAATGAGATGGCTAAACACCTGATTGAATTTTCTCCATTAATTAATAATAATGATTGTCTGCAACCAATTTTACAAGTAATACAAATCTCAGATGGTTCTCTGAAAAGCTACATGCAAAGCGAAAGGTGAAAGGTCAAAGTACCAGGTCTACAGATGCTTCGAGAGGTCGCTTCATTGCTTTGGCAGTCGACTGAGTCTTTTAATAACAGGCAGCGAGCACATGATGGCAGTGGGCCAATGGGATTCAAGCGAATTAACATACAGGTAAACAGCAAGCAGAGGTGCATCATGGGAACGGCATTGCATTGTGGATAGGTGAGAAGGAAAAAAATATTCTGAATGCAATATACAACGTACAAAACACTAGGCATGCACAACAACAAAAATGTTCTCTAAAGAAATGAATATTACACCTTAAATTAGTATCGAAGCAAAAATGCATCTACTATACCTTAGTTAAAAGCATATAAGAGAGTAAAATATAGATGTTTGAAATTCAGGAAAGTTAATTAAAACAGCAGCTTGCATACACACCATAAGCATTTTTTATATTGCTTCAGAAAAAAATGCAAAACTTTCGAGGGCCATAGGACTGAAGAACTTCTGATAAGTTAGTTTTCGAATGTAAAGTAACGAGTGCGCTAAGTATAAGATCTGAGTCAAAAATAAAAGATATTATTTTCAAATTTTGTAAAAATAATTTTTAATGAAGACCTAGCCTAACAAAATGAAGTGGCAAACTGAGACAAGAAATTCAGGCAAAAAAATATTCAAACACAAGATTACTGAGGCAAAACTGTTTGAGTTTGGATCTTAATTTTTTGTCTGAATCATGTGGGTAATTGTCTCAATTCTTCTCTTCAGTCTGCTAGCATGAATCTGGCAATGAGGGAGCAGGTTCCAAACTTGAGTTTTGAAATTGAATAGTAAGTTTCTCAAATTTCCCATTCTCGATCCATTGTACTATTTCTACCGACTAACTTATCATCCATTCTGTTTTCCACTACATTTGAAATTATAATTCAATTTATCTCAATCAACTTACCGGATTACATTAAGAAAATACCATTGAAAAAGGTATTTTGTGTTCTCGGTTATCAGAATCATTTATACTTAATAATTCTGTGTGTACTTTGAGTTATAATCAGTGACCAACCCAGTTAATGAGAAGTGGAACTCTCGGCTAGAACAACAGCTAAAAATAGCAAATAGCTAAAAAAAAAATAATAATAATAATAAAAAAGTAGCAAAGAACTGCTTGAAATATTAGATGGAAAATAATATTTTTATAACCATACTTTGGGGCAGATAGTCTCATTTAAACAGCTGAAATAATAACAAAGATTGATTGAATCTTCACCACAATGAAACAATTTTCCTAATCCTTGATTATTGCTGTAAAAGATGGAAAAATTCTATGATGGAATTCTGTGAAAAAAAAAAAATCAAAGGAATAGCTCCAATGCAAATAAAAAATGAAATACCCCTTTTCTATGTGTAGCACAATAGGTAAATCCCTAAGGTTTGTGTAATCAATACAAATTGTGATATTCTAAGGTTCTGAGTTGGAACTACAGCATTTGACATAAAATGGGACAGTACTAAACTCTCAAAATGGGAAACGATGACATTTTCCTTTGCAAATCAAGGGCTTTTCATCATCATTTGATGATTCAGGATCAAAAGTACAGAGCTGACAGGAGGGAAGTTAAAGATGGGGGGCAGGGTGGGTAGTAATAAAGTGGGTAGGGAAAGGATTGAAGGCAGAGAAGAGATTTAGAACAGCCAACAGAGAAAAGTTTTGGAAGCAGTCTTGAGAGAGGCCATCAACTAATATGAAATCAGTGTTCTGAGAGTAGGATCACAACATTTTTAAAACCCAGAGAGCTCCACAATAAGAAAGCTTCGTTGTACTGGATAGTCTTTCTTCAGATATAAGTTCCCCATTACAAGACTCCCATGACCCCATGTTCATTTAAAATCTTTGGTTGCTGTAGAGCTTTTAGATTGCTAAAGAATGCAGTTCTTTAAGCTTAAATTAATCTGTGCTAACTACATAAGACTGGGCAGCCTGTTCTCCCAGAGTGCACTGAGAACACCAACCCGGAATCATTTTGGCCTCAACCTTCTAGAACTCAGTTCTCTTCTCTTTTCCAGTTCTGGGGAGTTTGAGAGCCAAAGCTACTGTTGGGCTGATTTTGTCTGCTGTGCTAACTGGAAGATTATGTCTCCAAAGGCTGGTATTGATGAACAAAATTTCAACTTAACAAAGCATCACTTAATGAAGTCTCTGAGTAGGAAAAGAAATATTAAATATTTCTCCCTAGAATATTCACCTGGAAGGTTAATATTTTTTTTTCTGATCTTAGGTTGATGAAACTTAATGTCCACAGAAATTAGAATAATCTAGAAATGTGAAAAAACTGAGAGCTTTCAGCTGAGCTGGACAGCAACGGCATCTCCTTTTCTCCCACTGCGTACTGTGGGTTATGTTTACTAGATGCATATGTCGGGTCTTTTCAAGGAAACGCTAAGGTTCTGGAGGGTTGAATATATCTATCAGTATCTTGCACACCTCATGCTTTAAAGCACATGTGTAGAGTGTATTTTTCAAAAAATCTGGATGGATTAATAATCGCATTATAATATGGTTTTGGGGCGCCTGGGTGGCTCAGTGGGCTTAGTCTCTGCCTTCAGCTCAGGTCATGATCTCAGGGTCCTGAATCACGCCCCACACCAGGCTCTCTGCTCGGCAGGGAGCCTGCTTCCTTCTCTGCCTACTTGCGATCTCTCTGTCAAGTAAACAAATAAAATCTTTAAAAAAATGATTAAAAAATATGGTTTTGTAGTACACAGACATTCTGATCTAGGAGATATATTTGGCATAGGTTTAGCTACACTGAAAGGTCCTCAGACTCAGACTAGACCCAAAAAATCACCGAGCCTGGTGGGTCTTGGGAGCTTCCGTAGGTACCTAAGCAGAGAAAGAGGTTCTCTTTAGTTGAGACTCTACTCTGTGTCAGTCACATGACATCCATTCTTGCTGGCCTCACCAACATTTTGGATCCCCTTCCCTCTCTGCACCCCCCTGAAGTTTTATGTACAAGCAGACAGGTTTTCCTTTCTCTGAGTCAAAGGACAATCCAATTGCAAGTCAAGGCATGCCAATCAAGGGCCCATGCTGGGCATTAGGGGCAAAGACCAAATCTGAGAAGCCAGAAAACCCTGACGACAGTGATCAGAGCTGCCATTTTGATGCGGAAGAAAGGGATGTGGACACATAGGATGGAATTCAAAATTCCTTTATATGTTTTCTTGGACAGTTGAAATTTCTCTAGCTGATGGCAGCTGGTCCTGTTTCCTTTTACAAAATAGGAATCTGTGTAGCTCCATTTGGAGTGTGTGAAGAAAGACTGCTTGCCTGAAGATCAGATACCCTTTGTGTGAAAATTACCAAAGAGAAGCTCTGTCTGGCTTATTTTCGCATTAAAAAAAAATCTGGTGAGGATGATGCTCAGGTTTTAAGACGTATTGTGCAAGAATCAGGCTCTAAAGGAAACAAATGTCTCCTTTTCTGGAATCAAAGCTTTAAGTGTGTTTTCAGGGTCCAATTAATCAAAAGAACGGGAAATCCCTGGACAATAATACAAACTGCATTACAGAAATTCTTTGTGTTGGGAGATGGAGCCCAGGTGAATGGAATACTAATATCTTCTGACTGCAATCAGCACTCCCATTTGTTCTTTTAAATAAGGAAATAAGAGGGTTTTTTTAGTGTATTGAGTAATCTTGCCGCTGGAGCAGGAATACTTCGACTTTATCCAGCTGCATTGAGGCTGGTTCAAACAAGCCTCTTGCTTCAACTAAAAAGACGTGACAGATTCAGTAATTTTCATGTCATTGTCAGAAAGAAGCTGGCTTTTGTCCTGAAACTATATTCCTTTGGGTTGTCTCTGAGGATGTTGGAAGATCCCCTGAAATATCAGAACTCCAAATTTGGGCACAGTATGACAGTCCCGGGAACTATGGTAACTAAATATCCTGACATCCACGGCAGTAATCTCCACGCACCTTGACAAGTACGATGTGCCAGTGTGTGGAAGGGCGCCTGGCAGGGCACACAGAGGGGTACAGGCTGGGTCTTCGAATATATCAGGTCGAGGAATGACATGTTGGGGTCAATGGTCATTTCTTCTCTTCTCCCCGTCACCCACCACTGACCTTTATGGGCTGCACTGTTCCTTTGGTGACTGAAGTGTACACTGATCGTGGATGTTCGTCTGGGTGGCGTCTCATAAACCAGCAGATACAATCAAGGCGCAGAGAAATTCAGGGCTCAGTTCTCCGGTCACGATTAGTACCAGCGGTTTGTTCTGGCAACAGGTATTGGAGGTATAGGAACTAATTTTTTTTCATACCCCCAGAATCTCATCTCCTACCCCACTGACCAGCACTGGCTATTGTGACTCAGACTGAGCCAATCATGGCATGCTATTATTCTAACCATGAGGACAGCCACCAGAATAATCTTTGTTTTTTTTTTTTTTTTTCAGAATAATCTTTAACTGCTCTTTAGTTGTTTTTTTTTTTCTCATTAGAACTGCTGTCGAAGATGCTGTTTTCTCTCCTGTCAGAAAAGAGAAGAATGTGTCCCCACAGGAGTCTAGACCCATGGTCACTGTTGCATTGAAGAACCTGGTCTTAGAAGATAGAGCTGATATGCCAAGGGAAGCAGAAAAGAGGAAAAAAAAAAAAGAGCGAGTGGGAGATCTACTGATTGTCCAGTTTCTGGAACAGGTGCCCCTAATCTCTATTCGACTTCCCTTTGGAGAGCACCACATGAAGTCTAACTTTTTAATTTAAGCTACTTCAGTTGGGTTTTTGTCTCTTGCAGCTGGAGTCCTGACTAGCCTTGGGGACATACCCTTGGTACCCAGTTATGATTTATAATGTCAGCGCAGTGGAAAAAATGTGCCTAACAATCACCTAATTTAGGCTAGCCTAAAATAATGATTACAGCGGAAACAGTTTTATTTCTTATAGGATGAGGTCTTCACTAACAGGATGGGGAGACAGATTCCACATTGGAGAAATGTACAAAAGACCTCCCTCGCTTGCTAAAAGTGTTCCTTTCTCATCAGCATTAAGTAAGCGATTTACTCCTTTGTATTCTCAATACCGGATCTGGAACCCAGAACTTACTATGTGTTCAAGGTCCACCTGCACACACCCCCCCTCCAGCTCTACTCTCAATTACAATCAGTTTTGCCAACTGCTCTTTTAACTACAACAAAAAAGAGGGAGAATTTCTCTGTATTGTAGTTAGAAGATTGCGTTTTAAAGTGTATCTTTCATCTCTGAAGTCCTATCTGTTTCTTCTAAGGAAGGACTGCCCACTGGGTCCCCGCTGGACCCCATCGTGCATTTTCATCATCACTGAGGAGCACTGTTACTCTCACTTACTCAACTCCAAGCTCCTCAAGGGCAAGAAAATCTGCTTAATTTCTGGATGCTCCAATGCATGTTAACTCTCATCACGTGTTTTGAATGAATGAATGAATGCACAGTGTCTATCCAATAGTATAATAGGCTTCTGATAAGCCAGCGATCTCAACTAATGCTAATTAGCAATTTCTACAACCTAGTGTGATGGTTCACAAACTGTGCTGCACACTGGAATCCTATGAGCCTTTTCAGAAAAGGCCACTGCCCAGGCCACACCCAGACCAGTAAAATAAGAAACTCTGGGGGAAGGGGCGGATATTGAAACCTTTCAAGACCCTTCAGGTAATTCCAGAATATAGCCAAGTTTGAGAACCAGGGTTCTAGGCAGGTGCTTGTCCACTGTTAACGTGTATACAAAACACCTGAGGATATTTTAAAATTGGAATTCTAATCCCAAAGGGCTTGGGTGGGGCTGAGGGGCTGTAACAGATTCCCCAGGGATGAGGAGGAAGACGAGGAGGAGGAAATGTAGGAGGAGCAGCAGGAGGAAAACATGGAGGAGGCAGAGGAGGAGCGGGAGCGAAGAGGAGGGGAGGAGGTGGTGGCAGCTGGTTTCTAAGGGACCTTACAGTGACTCAGGAGGCGGGGCTGGGTTACAGCCCCCCGCCCCCACCCCCTCCCCTTTTTTAAAGCACCAGTCGGTAGAGCTCCATTTTCATCTGTTTCCTTTCCTGACTTCATGTTCTGCACACAATTTCACTTAGGGGGAGAAAGTTTGAAGGAAAGCGGGGGAAACAGGAGCGGGTTGAGCCAGTCACCGCCGGTCACCTGTTGCTGGCCGCTGCGGTCCGCGGCAGGGCTCAGCCATCCTTCCCTCGCCGGGGCGGCCCGGGGCCCCCCTTCCCGGTGGCTCCACCCGGAGGAGGAGGGGGAGGAGAAGGGGGAGGAGCAGCAGCCCTGGGAGGGCTCGCTACGGGGCGGGGTGGGTGCTGGCGGCTCGCGGGGGTGCCCTGCGCCTGAGGGATTTACTTATTGTGCTGAAGAAGGGAAGGAGGGGGGGGGAACAAAACCAAAACAAACCGGGGAAAACACCAACAGAACTTAGGCAGCGGAGCAGCGGGGATGGCAGCCTTCCCTAGTTCCCGGCGGCGGGGAGAGCGTCGGCATCCCGCGGGGCGCCCCGCGGCTCCCCGGGCCCGGCGCAGGAAGGTGCGCGGTGGGCGCGCCCCACTTACCATGACTGTGGCCGCGGCCGCGGCTGCCTGGGCGGCCACCGCCGCTTGGTTGGCTTGGTGCTGCGCAGCTTTGATTTTGGCCTGCAAGTGTGCAGGAGGGTGAAAATATTTGCATTTCTCCCTCATGCAACGCCCCTTTATGTAATCCATACAAACGGTTACGGTGTTGTCGTTTGTGTCGATCATGGTGCTGTCTGCGGGGTGTGCAAAGCGGCAGTCGGTCTCCCCCCGGGCACAGTTTCCTCGCTGGAACTCCCTGCATACCTAGGACACGGAGGGGCGAGAAGAGCGCAAGATGCAGAAGGACGCCTGAGGGCCGCCGGCGCAGCCATTTATGTTTAAAATAATTTTTTTTTTAAAAAAAGAAATAAATGCTTTTCCTTTCTTTTCATGGTGGCTTTTGTGCCATTTCGATACAAAATCTGATTGTCAGGGACTCAACCAGGATCAAACTGATGAGTTTGGCTGCGACCTCTTTTCTGAAGTGAAACTCTGGATTGAGAAAGTAAGTCGAAAGTCTGCAGCTGGGCTAAAATCACGAAAATCAACAAAGACTCCCTTTATCTCTGGGTAGTGTGCATATCTCTGTATCTACTTTACAATAATTAGGACACAATGTATGTGTATATGTATCTATATATAGTATGGAATTTGGACATGTATGTCCATATCCAAATCTCCTCCTGTGCTGAGGACTCTGGGACGCCATGGGCTTGCGGTATCACAGACCAAGCCCCTCGGGCGCGGCTGTGCAACTCCAGACAGAACTGGGGGAAACAGACTTGTTCCTCCTCTGAAGATGGGCAGTGGGTGGGGTGGAACTAAATACCCCTGTTTCCCTCTAGGTCTCCCCTGCTCTACAAAGATAACTTACACTTACAGTCGTTAAGTCAGAACTATTGGACCTAAGACATTGAAACTTGCATTTAAAGCCACTCTGTTATTGTTTTTGACAGCACAGACAGAAAGGAAATATAAAAAGGAGAGAAATAAGTGGAGGAGAGTAGGAACAGTTTGAAATGATGTGTTGCTGTTGCTTTTATAGTCCTTAATCCTTAGTTATCCTGGAGTCTTACGTACTAGAATGTTCCATCCTCTACGGATACTGGTGGATCAAAAGTTTACCATGTAAAGAAAGTTTTGTTTAGAATTTAAGGAGTATTCTTAATTCTGCCCTGAATGTCAACAACATAAGATGACATGGAAAATAAATAGACAAGATAATTATATTTATAAAATATCAGTAGCAGGGCAGAACTAATAGTAAAATTGTAAGTTATTTCCCTTTTAGGCTCTCGTTCCGAAGTCAATATGTTGAAGTGGTGGTTGGTATCTTGACCATCAGTGACGTCATATGAAGTGTCAATAACGTGACAGACGAGCCCCGTGCAAATCAAAGGGGCTTTCAAAATACAGTTTCACTGACCAGTGGTCAAGAGAGTTTGAAGGGTAAGCAGATAGGTCACAAAACTGCTCCTTCTTTCCTCCTGCTTTGGCTACAAGCCAATATTCCATCTTTAGTTCATAAAATGTACAAAATAAAAATTACTCAGCTGTTCCCATCAATTCTGAGTCAGCCTTCCTTTCTAAATGCAATCCTCCGGTCTGAGACTGCATCGGAGGTGCACACTGGCCATCAAACGTTTTCCAAGGGTCTCTGTGTGCGGCCAACTTCATGCCTAGTTTGAAATGAACCCTTAAGCTGCCCCGCTAAAGTCACTGTCAATTATTTTTCAATGTCTTTGTCTACTAGTCCTGATGGGGAGGAGGATTTGTCCCCAACTCGGCTGATTTGATTTGTTTTCTAAACCACAGATTCGGAAACTGAACACTAAAGCGCTAAGGGTCCAGCAGGTGGAGCCCCAAACGCTTTTGCAGACCATGAAAGGTCTGTTCTATACTCACAGGGGCGGACTGGATCAAAACAGTACTGTTAGGAACTATAGTCTTTTCATTTGGGGATCCATAAACTCCAGATTGAAGCTGATATTAGGGAGCCACATTTTACTGCCCTCAAGAATTAAGTGGTAAATATTTATAATTTAAAAAATTTTTATTGGGTCAATATTTAAACAAATGCACCTTGAAAGAACTTTCTCCAGTGATCCAACGTAAGCACAGTGAACATCCTAACTGTGCATATATCACCTAACAACTCTAATGGGTAATGGCATTAAAGGAGCTTGTTGAAAAATCTATGAGAATCTTTACGTACCTGTATAAAATGCTCTGTTAACTATCACAGCATATAGTACGTAAGATAAATCCTCTAACTCTGATGAAAGAGAAATGTTACCCCATAAAGGCTGGCTTGACTCATGACTTAACAGTTATGTTCTATAAATACATGACCTTGTTTTCTTGATTTTTATGGAACACTTAAAGAAAATATCGCAATCGATAATTAAATTGGCCCAGCTTCCAGTTCCCCTGCTTACCAACAATACAGCCAGAGCTGAGATTCTGGAACATACCAATATAACCATATTAGTTCTTAAAATATTGACATATGATCACACCAAGGGGTCAACAGTCATGGTTCTACTTACTACCACCCCTGTGCCCAAGTGTCCCCCCATTGGCCTGACTGCTGGGCCCCTGATTTGCCCATTCTCAGACCTTTCCAGGATCCATCAGAGGTTAATGCCTGGCACCCGGAGGCCTTCAGGAACCATCTCTGTGGTCTGCACCGTGATTGACTGATAGTTCCCTTGGTTGTTCAATACTTTGCCCCTGAACACACATTCCTGGTAGGTAAATTTTGTTTGTGCTAAGCTAATTCTTTTCCTACAGACTCATTTCCTTTATAGTCTGCCTTAAATGGAAACCATAGAATTACGAATGCCTGGCTTTTAGACGAATGTGTGTGTGCGCGTGTCCGTGCACATGGCTGTTTGCAAGACTGAATGAATATCTTACACGGGTTCACTTACACAGAATTACACTTCTACCCCAAATGCATCTCAAACCACAAATATAATTGAAGTACCTCCAGCTTGTCAGTCCTGAGAAGTTTCTGAGTTGCAGTTGAGCCCGGGACAGTGACGGGTGGACTTCCGGGAACAATAACGGGTGTGGTGGGTAGAATTTCCGTTGGGACTAACCCAACTCCAGGGGTTACAGGTGCTAAGTAAGGAGCAAAGCTAATCGCCGTGTTTGTCCCTATGGCGGGACCTACAGGAAAAGTGGGCTGTTAAAGGAAGACAACATAGGACAAAGATTTCTTTAGAATAAAACTTTAAAAAATCACCAGCAATTCATCATAGACAAGACTCTGTGTGTGCATAAACCGGTATCTGCGAAAGCTCATTAAGCTTCCCTGTTTGGTCTTGCTTAATAAAAATGAAAGCCATATAGATCCTCTCTTCCTAAAACCATACCAAAAAATCATGGGAGAACATCGTAGAAACCTAATTACAGTGAACAGGTTAAACTTTTATTACTATGAAGGCGTTCTCAAGAAAAGAAAATACTAATTCTCACTGTAATTGCTCATCATTCCAAACACTGGATGTTAGTAAGGGAGTAAAACCTATGGAAAGCTGACTCCAATTCTCTCCTTTCTCCTCCATGGCTCTCAAAAAGGACATGAGTAAAGGAAAAACCTTGAATGGCGCCTGACTTTCCAGTTGATCAAGTTTGTACATTCTCAAAAAGCAGGGATTATTTGGGGCTGCATTTTCTCAAACTCACCAGCATGTTCCTGTAGCCCATCACTAGCATGCACGTATCCCAGTGTTCATAGGCAATATTCATGGAAACCTGCTATTTCATTGTCCAGCATAGCCATGTCTAGATACAACCCTCCCTCCCTAAAAGTTTCAATGGAAGAGCATCATTTGGCCAATATCTCAACTGGCCAATTTTTCAAATGGCCATTCAAAGTTAGTTTGGTTTCCTAGGTCAAAATCAGCACAGCCGTGATAAATGCATTCCGTACCTTATTTAAACTTCTCTATCCCTACACTCCTTGTCCACAGCTAAGAAGAAATACACTAAGGGGTCCATAAGATGATTATTTTTAAAGGTTCCCCCTAAAAAATACATCTCTCAGAAAGGAAATAATATAAGAGAACAAGAAACTTTGCCTGACTCTTCTAGAACCAATGTTAAAAACTGAAGATGTTGGGATGCCTGGGTGGCTCAGTTGGTTAAGCAACTGCCTTCAGCTCAGGTCATGATCCCAGAGTCCTGGGACCGAGTCCCGAATTGGGCTCCCAGCTCAACGGGGAGTCAGCTTCTCCCTCTGACCTTCTCCTCTCTCATGTTCTCTCCCACTTTTTCCCCCTCTCTCTCTCAAATAAACAAAATCTTTTAAAAATATATTAAAGAGAAAACTGAGGATGCTGAAGATTTTTCTTAGAATAAATTTTACACCAAATTGTACCCGAATGGTTTTTGTTGGTTGCTTGCTTTTTTAGTTAATGGATGACTTTTAACTTATTTTTAGGACCAGTATGCAGATATTTGCAATTATGTGTTAATGCAATTTTCTAATACAGAACCATGCCATTGGCCCTGTCACTCTACTTCGCTATTTATACGTTGTGAGTAACATTCTTGTTTTCTATTTATGGCTCTGAATGAGCTGTTGAACATATGGGAAAAATAACAATCTATGTTTATTAAACAAATTTTTTGTTGACAGCAATAATGGAAAAATATCTCTTATGAATGCTCATGTTAGAAAACAGTGAAATATTGATAGTCTGTGCAGGGAGTTCTCAGAGAGTCTGGAAGTATTTACCATAGTGGCTGGGGGCCACAAGAGGTGATTCTAATGGTCTGCGAGAGCTGCTGTAGCCCTCCCACGAGGGGCTCTTAGATCTTTATGGCTCAGACGTAAAATTCACTTTGGGACAGAGTTGCAACATGAGGTCTCAACATGGGAAATAGATGGCAGTCAGGAATTTTTTTCTCCAAAATTTTATATGTGTATGTTTTCCATTTTCAACCCATTTGAGCCATAATTACAGAAAGTTGTGGTTTTCAGGAACTATAGCTTTTATAAGTTAGTGGTCTTGAAAGAAAGCCAAGTGATTTAAATGGTATGACTACATAATGTTAGAATTTTTAAAAAATCAACCCTGAAAGGTCATAAATCACAACAGATCAGTGATTCAAAAAACTAGCTCTATCAGAAATGCCTGTGGGGAATTTCTTAAATAGAGATATGCCAGACTCAATAGGTCTAGGCAGGGGCCCCGAAATTTGCATTAAAAAAAATTTACTACATGATTTGATGTGTGGCCCAGTTTGGGCACCACTGTCCTAGATGAATTGTGAAAGTATTAAAACACTTGTACTAAATGTGTCATTTAACCCAGAGACCAATTATCAAAGTAAACATTGAAAGAAGAGAGTCCTCCCCCCACACCCCCAGTTTTGACTTTCTGCAGCAGCAAATTCTCAACCCCTCCCCCTGTGGATCATCTGAAGTCAGGGTCAGAGTGGTGACATAAACACAGCTTGTACCTTGACTGACAAAAGGATGTCAGAACCTCAAAACTCATTTCATGAAACCTTTTCATTTATCAACAAATCTATTACAATTAGGAAGATCGTGTTTTCCAAAATGTATGTTACTTGTTCATCTAATGTAATGATCTAAAATGAATGTTGCAGTTTGCTTTACTAATGATAGCTCCGACACGGCTCGGAGAGAGTATTATTTAAAAATAAAGCCACAGATTTTAGACTGAGATTGATCTGAATTCAAATCCAGAGCTTTGCCGGTTAATGTTTATCCTGGGCAGTGAGTTAACCTCCCCGGGGTTCAGTTTTCTCAAAAGCAGACAGGACATAAAACTTTAAGCTCAGCTTAAAACCTTAAGCTCAAGAGTTGGTGCAAACTGGGTATTATTTCTCCAGCCCCTTCCCATGGTCAGAACTCAGTAAATAACAGCTCTCATCAGTAGTGTAAAATCTAGCATTAATAAGGTTTTTCCTCCAAAAGGCCCACTGCTTCTAGAACAGGAATATAACCAGCATAGTAATGTGATAACAGAGGTATAAACTCTATTAGTGTTTAATAAATGATAGCTAATGTCTTCTCTTTTTTGAAATACGGGCTGGGAAAATAGATTCTTTCTTTCACATGTAGCTGAAAGTTAAAAGTTTATAGGTCTTAGGAAGATAGAGTCAATGAGATATTTTCTGTCTCTTTAATAAGGTGTTTTTCACTGAAGGTAATGAGTAAGAATTAAAGTTAAGGTCCTCTTTGGAGACAGGCACTCCATTATTATCCCTGTTGACAGTAATACCTTATGCCTCTGAAGGGTTCCCAGTGTTCAAACTGTTCTCACACACCTTGTCTTCTTTAACCTTCTCAATATCCGTGAAGGGCAAGGGTGGCCGTGAGAACTTGCAGACGAAAGCAGTTTAGAGTAGAGACCAAATGGATCATGCAAGGTCAATGCCGCCGAGGCAGAGTCAGGGCAAAGCACCCAGTTTGGGGCTATTTCCCTTCCTCCGCACTCCCTAGATTGCTGGTAATTTCTTAAAACAGAAGAGGGACAACAGCCCCCGCCCCAGCTGCGCTAATGTCTCTGAGCATAAGGCCAGAGTGCTGGTGGGGAGCTGTGTCCCACCATCAGCCTCCTCCACATGGGAGGAGCGGGTCATCAGCCTCCTCCACATGGGAGGAGCGGGTGAGGCTGTTCCCTACAGGGGTGCCCTGGAAAAGTGGATCCCAGATCCCAGATTCAAATTAAACTCCCCCAGTAGAGTCCAGGCTGACATCATGTCCTCGCATCTGAATTTAGGGCTTAGCTGCAGCTAAGAAGAGAAGAGCAGCACTTCCAAAGGATTCTGGTCCTGGGGCACACCAGCCCGTGCCTGGGAGCCTTGGCCCCGTGGTTTCTGCAGAAGGCCTCCCGCCATGTTTGAGATGGGATCCACTGGGTCCTTGATCATCTCTCAGAACTAGCTGCAGCTAGAGAGGCCGGAGGACAAAGCAATGGTGTCTTCTGGACAAAAATGGCTTCTGAAATGCTGGCCTTGCTATTTGTAATTTCTGTACTTCATTCCACATTCCTGTGTTTCTCTCTTCAGCTACTCCCATGCTAGTCTTCTTTCTCAGTGCATTACACCAGTAGATCTGGGTTCAAAGACTTCTCTATCTCTCTCTCACACACACGTACACACACATTCAGCACGTGTTCTTTGATATTTTGTAGTGGAAGGAAAGATCAGTGCTGTGTAGTAATGACTAAGTGGCCTGAGGTGTTTTATGGCTCTAAAATTTAGTCAGTTGACTTTTTAAAAGAGGAGCGTGAGAGTTCATACATGTAGAAAGCTTTGACTTCAAAGGGTAGGTATTCAGCACTCAAACTGAAAGGCTTAAAACATGGCATCCCTTAAGCCTGCTCTCTTTTCTTCTAGAAGCATCTCTGGAAGGCAGACTACTCAACGCAAGACCTTGTCCTTGAAGACTGAGTTGTATAGGCTCTTAAAACTCGATCCTAGTAAGGCTACCCATCCCCACACTTCTTTTTCTTTTTTTTTTTTAATTGGCATGCAACATTATATTAGTTTCAGGTGTATGATGTAATGATCGATATTTGTATATACTGTGAAATGATCACCACAGTAAGTCATTAAGATTTATCACCATATGGAGGTACAGAATTTGCCTTCCTGTGAAGAGAACATTTAAGATTTACTCTCTTAGCAACTTCCAACTATGCGGTATTCTTTTTTTTTTTTTTAATTTTTTATTTTTTCAGTGTAACAGTATTCATTATTTTTGCACCACACCCAGTGCTCCATGCAATCCGTGCCCTCTACAATACCCACCACCTGGATCCCGCAACCTCCCACCCCCCACCCCTTCAAAACCCTGATTGTTTTTCAGAGTCCATAGTCTCTCATGGTTCACCTCCCCTTTCAATTTCCCTCAACTCCCTTCTCCTCTCCATCTCCCCTTGTCCTCCATGCTATTTGTTATGCTCCACAAATAAGTGAAACCATATGATAATTGGCTGTCTCTGCTTGACTTATTTCACTCAGCATAATCTCTTCCAGTCCCGTCCATGTTGCTACAAAAGTTGGGTATTCATCCTTTCTGATGGAGGCATCATACTCCATAGTGTATATGGACCACATCTTCCTTATCCATTCGTCCGTTGAAGGGCATCTTGGTTCTTTCCATAGTTTGGCGACCGTGGCCATTGCTGCTATAAACATTGG